CTGCCTGTAGTGTATGAGGGTTCCAGTTACTCCACATTTTACCAATACTTGGTATTGCCAGTTGTTTATTTTTAAAAATTTTCATTATCTTATCCGTTCCAATAGGTGATGGCATCTCATTATGATTTTAATTTACATTTCCATAAGGAATAATGATGTTGAACAGACTTTTTTTGGTTATTTGCTATCCATATAGCTTCTCTGATGAAGCGTTTGTTCAGATATCTTGTTCATTTTTAAAATTAGGTTGTTTGTTTTCTTATTATTGAGTTTTGAGAATTCTTTATATATTTGGCCATAAATGTTTTACTAGATAAAGGAATATGTTTTTGAATGTGTTTTGAATATATTTTCCAGCCAATGGTTTTTTCATTTTCATAATTTTTTCTAAAACATAATATAAAAATTTTTATAAACTCCAATTTATCAATTTTTTCTTTGTGGGACCATGCTTTTTGTGTATCTAAGTAATCTTTGTCTAATTCAAGGTCACAAAGAAGTTCTCTGTTTTCTTTGAGAAATTTCATTGTTCTGGGTTTAAATCTAGGTCTATGATCCACATTGTGTTAATTAGTATGGTACAGGTCAAGGTTCTTTTCCTTGCGCGTGAATGTCAGATTGTTCCAGGATCATTTGAAAATCAACTGACTCTGTGCGTATGGGTTTATTTCTGAACACTCTATCCAGTTCTGTTCATCTATGTGCTTATCCTTTTGTCAGTACTCTACTGTTTTGATTATTGTAGCTGCGTAAGTCTGGAAATCAGGTAGAGATGATGCTTAACAGGGGAAATTCCCCCGAGTTGCTGGGGGAGCTCAAGCCCTGCACAGAGAGAGAGAAAGAGACAGACAGACAGACAGACCGACAGGCAGAGTCAGAGACAGAGACAGAGAGAGAGAGAGAGAGAGAGAGAGAGAGAGAGAATCTTGACTAAGCACAGAAAGGATCCCAGTACGTGCCAAAGTTAGAGTCAAAAAGAACGTTTATTAGAGAAAGGTTAACACTCCGTAGACAGAGCGTGGTCTCCTCTCAGAGACAAAGAGTGAGAGATCCTAGAGAGAAAAGACAGTGAGAAAGACAGAGACAATGACAGTGAGAGGGATGGTGGCAAAGAGAGGGACAGAGACAATAAGAGGGACAGAGAAAAAGACGAGAGGGACTCAAGCGTTCCGGGAATCCAGTTTATGTATCTTTCTTGGTTTCTATGGACTAAAGTTTAAAGACCTCGTTTACCTATTTTCTTTTGATGGTATGAGTATACGGTGGGAAAGAAAGAGTATGTGGTGTAAAAGAAATGAGTCTGTGAGGAGAATGCGTGCTGGCAATCCCCAGCCTTTGATTCTAAATTCCCCATGGTTTTAGCCATAGGGAATGAATGATTGTGTTTATTTTGTGTAAGGCGGGACTTAAAGACTCTGTTTTCCTATTTTCCTTCATGGTGTGGGGAAATGGGTTGTTAGCAATCCCAGTAGAAATCTTCCTTTGTTCTGTAGGTTTCCATGGGGTCTGGCTGCAGGGCTGATCAGTACATTGCAGTCTCTAAATGTAGCTTGATTTAATATTTTGGTTCTCTCGCCCCTTCCTTACATTAGCATGTGTCCTATAACTTTGTCCTTTTTCATAACTATTTTAGTTCTTTGCTTTTCCATATACATTTTAAAATCATGTTGTTAATTTTTACAAAATAACCTGTTAGAATTTTTATTGAGACTGCTTTGAATCTATAGATCACTTTGGGAAGAATTAACATCTTACCATTATTTAGTCTTCCATGAACAAGGTGTATTTTCCAACTTATGTAGGTCTTATTTAACATCAGTGTTTTCTAGTTTTCAAGAGTCAGATGTTAGATAGACATATCTCTGAGGTTTACACCTAAACATTTAATGTTTTTCAGTCCTATTATATTTGGTAAGTTTTTCTTTGAATTTTAATTTCCAATTATTTATTGTTAGTATTTAGAAATATTATTGATTTTGTATATTGAAAACTATGACTTTTTAAAACTCTTAACTAGTTCTCATAGTTTTTTGAATATCCTTTTGGATTTTCTATGAAGACAATAATTTCTTCTGTGACTAGAGATGGTATTACTTCTTCCTTTCTAATTTGTATGTTTTTTATTTCTTTTTATTGTCTATTGAACTGGCTAGGACTTCCTATATAGTATGGTCAATCTTGCTGAAACTAACAGCATTGTAATCCATGTCAAATTAAACAATACTGCTATCTCTCACTGTCCATTTCTCTAAACATCCTTTCTATTTTATCTGTGTTTTAACTTATAGGCACACATTCTAACACTTATTAACAAACATTAACACTTATTAGCATGATAAACTCATGTTTATGTGATACTAGTTCAGAACAAACATTTGCATTTGTAAAACTCTTGTAACATTGTGATCATTAATCCTGCATTTAGAACAATATTTTCAAATTGACAGATTTTTGCTGGCAGTAGGGATGGGGGCGGAGGGGCCCTACCCAGTGTTCTGATGAAGGAGGAAGGCAATACTAGACTTTAAATCTTCACCACCTTCATCAATTCTCACACACACTGTGTATTTTAGCTTTTGTCCCACACTTAAATCCTGTAGGACCCATGAATGATGTCTTTCCCTTCTTACTAAATGTTCTTCCTCTTGTCTGTCACCAAAGTGACACAGATCATCTCCTGAGAGTTACCTGACATAAAAGCCTATCTGCTCACGCAGAGCAAGCTTTTCCCCCAATTAAGTATCCTCAGAAATGGATGGGAAAAAAAAAAACACATTCATAGTCTGGAGTATGACGGGAACAACTCTCTGCTCATAGCACATAAA